AGGAACTTTAGTCTATTTTTTGCATTTTCCCATGAGTGGTATATTCCACACCAAAAATATCTGGATGCCAAATACAGACATGGACTGGAGTCCGTGCATACTTAGTTAGGCGATTATAAAATATTACCAGCATCTCTGCGGTATAACAGATGAGATCTTTTATTCCTTACTTTTATTCCTTGCTGGCACAAGTGCCAGCAATTCCACATAGACTGGCACTATGTCCGAGTAAGGAGTGCAAGATCAGAACATGCACAAGATTAGACGGTGGATTTTTATTTTAATTAATATTTATCATTGGAAGAATATTATTTCCAATAAATAGGAATAAGGGAAGCTCAATATGTGAATAGGCATATTCACTGCATGCCATATTCTCTGCATAATAGCTATGCACTAAAGTTCTCTGTGTACTTAGATGGTGAAAAACTCCCACCCTCGTTGAGAGAACAGGCATGGATCCCACATCTCACTTATGCTCAAGGGGTACTACGTGAGCCACATCCAAGCAAATTTCTGTCCAGTATTGGCCCTGGTCTGAAAGGACTTTTTAGCCATCAGGGAACAGGTTCAGCCCTCATCCATTACTGACTACCTCACCATGGCTTTCACATGAAAGTCAGTCAACACCACCTTCAGCAGGAACTTTTGTTGTCTTGCAGACCTGAGGATTACTGACTCACAGCACTTAACTACCCCCAAACAGGCCCACTGAATACACCTGTTGTCTCCATAATTCCTCAAATAAAAGAAGTTTGGGTTCCTGACTGGCTACACATAAGCCTACAACACAGCTGGCAACCAGGAGACACCCCCCAAATTTGCATGTTGAGAATGAAAGCCCAGGCAGCAATTTGGCCTTCCAGCTTGAAACGGTTTGGCATCAGGACTCTTATTAGCAGAAGTTTCTCAGAAGACTATAACTGACCAATTAATCTGAGTATTTCCCATTCCGCATGCATTTTGTTTCTTCCTCCTTCTCACCCTTCCCTGCTCCCCACCTGAACAGCAAGAGGCCTGGTACTGAGTAGCAAAAAGAATAATTAAATTTAAAGCATATGATTTTCAATTTGGATAGTGCTACCTATACACAATAAAAAAACCTGTCTGTTTATTCTGAAGCATGGCTGTGGAACAGAAATACAGTGGAATAGAAATGGAATTTCTAATAGAATAGAAATACAGTGCAAACCAATTTCTAAACTCTGTTCAACCAAGTTCATTTTCTTCCCTGCAAGGTTGTGCTATGCGGGTGAACTAAGAACAGTGACAAGAAAAGCAGCAGGGGCTTCCTAAAACCCTTCCGCTCCACTTTAAAAGTTAAAATTGCCCCAGAGTAAGAGGACTGCAGCACCAGCTCCTTGGGGGAGAGAACAAGATTAGTTACAGTCGTTTTGGTAGAGCCCACGCTTCCATTGTTTAATTTTTCTGTGGGCCATGTCCCAGAAGACCCCAGACGTTATGAGCATAGTCCCTTACAGAGACTGAATTCCTACGCTGAGCAACAGAGCCTCGGTGGCTCTTGGAGGTAATGCCTCAAAGCATTACCACGAACGACGGGGGTCCAAAGGTGTTCCTTCATCCACTTCCCCATCGCTATGCACTGCCAGCGGGGGCTCAGTGGCACCAGCTGTTACACAGGCTGTTTATACCTACTTGAGCTTTTATGATGTTAATAGTTTAGATTTAAGTAAACTTTGTGACATATTTAACTTTGGGCTTTTTGCTAAATGAGACAATTACTGTTCTCTCAACTTCCAATTTAAAACCTAGTACAGTACAATGCTCTTGGGAATTCTGCTTTTGAAGACATTTGTCCATATGAGACATTGTTTGCATATCTATAGTCTTAAAGAACTACAAAAAAAAAACCCATCATTTTATGCTTTCCTTTGCATCAGATAGTATCCTCTGTGACAGAGTCCAAAGATCACGCACTGATATAGCTTTATAAAAAATTACAGTGATACGAGGAGTTATGTGCTCTATTGAGAAATGAAGAAACAAGGACCTGATCTTGACAATTAAATACAGAAAAGTGAAACTAAAATCTGTGGGAATTCTGTTCAACAGAACTGAGATTTATTGCCTCACACACGTCTAGAGGTGCAGTGGGCTTCCCCCCACCCAAAACTGTCACATCACAGTAACACTCCAAACCTTTAAAAAGAAAAACGTCAAGGGCACAAGAACTTTAGCACAGAGCAAACAAAAAGCTTTTCTACCTTCAGAATGGAGATTTCTAAAAAAAAAAAAAAAACAAACAAAAGCAGGTGTCATCCCCTACAAAAGCATTTTCCAGCCAGCCCAGGCAAGGCCATGACAAAGCATGGACCAGACACCCTGCTTCCAAGCGTGAAGAGAGGAAGCAAGAACAAAGAGGTCTGCCTTCTCCTGCACATACAGCAGGGGGGTATATTCACAGTGACCACACTGCCAAATGCCTCCGAAAGGGATGGGCACGCCCTTCCAATGCTCGGGCCAACCGGGCTCCTCAGGCATAGCAGGTAG